AAAGTGTAATAAAATAGAACATAAGATCAGTCTTTATGCAGATGATGTTTTACTCTTCCTCCAGAATTCTCAATCGTCTCTGTCTCATTCAATAGAACTGATAAACTCTTTTTCAAAAGTTTCAGATTACTCTATAAACTGGTTAAAATCAACAGTTCTACCAATTAATTTCTCTTTTGTCAATTTACTTAATACTCAACTGGAGTCAGGTAATATCACATACCTGGGAATTAATGTCTCTCCCAAGTTAGCAGATCTAACCAAATTAAACTACATCCCACTTTTAAAGAAAGTGGAGGATGATCTTGCTAGATGGAAATCCTTACCAATATCACTGATGGGAAGAGTTGCTACAATTAAAATGATGGTCTTACCCAGAATAAATTACTTATTTTCAATGATCCCAAACAAACCACCAGCTGACTGGTTTAGATCTCTGGACTCCTCAATTACCAAATTCCTCTGGCAGGATAAACCTCCACGAATTAGCTTAAAAACGCTTCAGAAGAGCAAAGACAGAGGAGGACTGGATCTACCCAACTTTTATTATTATTTTTTAGCCAACAGGCTGCAATATATACCAAGATGGTTGCAAGATAACCCATTAGACGAGTCCTGGTTAGATATAGAACAGACACTTTGCAATACGATAGAGCTTTCAGACTTACCATTTATTAGCTCAAGCGTAAGAAAACATGAAGGCTTCAAAAGTATTAGTATCAGCACTTCTCTGACAGCATGGTGGGAGTATCTTAAAATGACAGAGTCTTCACTAGTACCATGCAGACGCACACCTATCTGGAATAATCCTGATATTTTGCAAAATAATAAAATGATGAACCTTCTGGACTGGAAAAATAAAGGAATCCTATACCTGGAAAACATATATGAAGGATTGGACTTCATCCCATTTAATAGAATAGTCTCCCAATTTGGAATAGAAAAGAACAGCTTTTTAGAATACCACCAAATCAAATCTGTAGTCAAACAAAAATTTAAGCTCAATAAAATAGAATTACAAACCCCGCCAAGGGTTTTAGACTTCTGCAATCTCAAACCCCCTAAACTACTGTCTAAAGTATATAAGACACTGTCCAAAATAGACGATAGAATAGCAATCCCTATTGAAAAATGGGAGGTGGATCTATCAGTCAGCTTTGACCAGAACTTCTGGTCCCAAACTTGTTTAAAAACTTTTAAAATGATCAGACACCCCAATTTACAATTAATTCAGTACAAAGTTCTACACAGAGTACACTATACAGGTCATCGGATGTTCAAGATGGGGTTTGTGTCGTCTGACATCTGTACACACTGCACAAACAACATTCCTGACAATTACGTTCATGCACTGTGGTCCTGTCCACCTGTCCAGGAATTTTGGGGTAGAGTATGTGAAGACCTGTCAAAGTCTCTGAAATGTCATATCCCAATCACCCCCTCTCTTTGTTTACTGGGAAACCTGGATGATGTCCCGATTGAAAAATCTTTGGTTCACGTGGTTCTGACTGCCATATGCATCGCTAAGAAAACTATCCTCTTGAATTGGAAAAATAGAGAAAATCTCTGCATTAACCAGTATAGAAATCTTTTGTTAGATCATATTGCACTTGATTTAGCCTCTGCTTCCACTTCAAATAAATCTCTCTGGGCTCCTTTGATCGGTTCCATCACATAGCGGTGATGGGGGGCCGTTGATGATGTCCTGCGGGATGATGTGGGTGGGGGGGTGGAAGGTCTGAGTTTGGAGTATCTGGATGTTCCCTGGGGATGGGTTCACTGGGGATGTCTGGCACTGGGGGGCCGTTCCCCCCCTCTGGAGGTGCTTGGGTTGCCTCGGGGGGTGTACTGCTGGCGGTTGTGAGTGGAGCCCCTTGGAGGTCTTGGCGGCGGCCATGGGTCACTGCCTGGCGGCTGCATTGCCCCTGGGTGGGTCTGGGTGGGGGCCTGGGGGCTCGGGGTGTTGGGGTGGCCGGCCCCGTGTGGGGATCTGGGCTGGGCCTTGGGGGTCGGGTCCCTACATGTACGCTGCCGGGAAGAAGGCAGGAATACGCAGAAGTACCTGGCCCGGGTTAAGGGGCGTAGGGCAGGCCCTGGCTCCTCTGTTGTCCCATCACAGGGGAGGGGGAGGTCCAGGAGGGGGAGGACCCAACCTTACCTGGATGTCTTATGTCTTATATATTCTGGAAGTTGTGCAAATGCAGGGATGGGCATAGATATTCTGCTGGGGTGGGGCTGGGTCGGCTCCCTCGGGCTCTGTGGGGCTCTGTGATGCTGCTGCTTTGGGCCCTGGCAGGATGGGCTGGGGTCTCCATGCCCTGGGCAGCGGTATGACAACGGAGGTGCCTATTGGGGTCAGTGGGGGAGCTGGCTCCCTGGAGGGCTAAGCCCTACCAGCCATTCCTCCCCATCCCCGTTTATTTCTCTCCTCCTGCTCCCTCACATCATCACACAAACATGCACATAGGACCTTGGGGGGTGGACAAGTCGAGGAGTGCGGGTATGGACCCCATTTCCGCATTCCTGTGGCTTCCTGCCCCCCAATTTTATTTGCACCTTATGCACTTCCACCGACGACATTCCACGCAAACATACACTTAGGGCCTTGGGAGTGAGCACATTCAACGGCACTTGGCAGGGGGAGTTCTCAGCCTCCTCCCGAGTGCCGGTGCCCACTTCGAATTTTAAACTGCATTTAGACACCAAGGGCTGTGGGTGCAAGTAGGGTGGTGCAGTGGCATCAGCTGGCATAGGCCAGAAAATGCCCGCACTGCCCGCTCACCACAGCAATAGAATACACCTCATTAACACACAACACTATGTTGGAGCAGGTGGAGGGAGACCAGGGGGTCTTAGCACACCTCTGTTGTTGCTTGGCTGCCTGGGGCTGGAGACTAGGAGGGAGATCTGGCCGTCTGGTTGGGGTCTGGGGTGGTGGGTTGCTGTGCTCGGCGGTGGGCGGGGGAGCCTGCTCATCAGCACCCCAGCAGAAAGGGTCAAACTCTGGTAACCGGTGGTGGTTGTACCCCATGTGCAGCATTACCGGGACCAGAGTGAATAGGGTGTGTATGGGGAGCATGAATGAGTGTCCGGCGTGTATTTTTGTAAGTCTTTGGTTGTATGTGCATGTGTGAGCATGAGGGAGGGAGTGTGTGACTGTGTTTGTGTATGACTGTATATGTCAGGTGGGGCCTTTGACTCCTCCCTTCTCCTGGGACCTCCTTTGATGATATAGATCTTCGTCTCCCCTCCCCCCTGTCACACCTGGTGTGGGTGTGATGCCTTGGTCTGCCTGAGTGTTCGTGGCTCCCGGGTCAGGGAGTTTAAGATTTTTGGCATCTGCCTGATCAATCCCGGTGGCGGCCTGGGGGGGTCTGGGTCCCTGGGCTCTGCTGGGTCCCCGGCGGGGGTGGTCGCCCCTGGGTCCCGGGTCGCTGGGTCCCGGACTCGGCCGGCTAGGGGGTGGGAGGCTGCGGGCAGGCCTGAGGACTTGCCGCTGATATCTCCCGGGGCTCTGCCGGCTGCTGGTTGTGGCCCCCCGGGGCGATCCTCTGTGCCTCTCGAGGGGGGCGGGGGCCTTTCTGGTTGCGGGCTCCTTGGGGTTCCTGTGTTCTGGGGCAGCGCCTGGATCTCTGGGACTTGGAGCTCCCCCCCGTCTCCTACGCGTCTTTGGGGGGCAGATCTGTGGTCCCTCACACTCTCTATTGGACGCTCCTATAGATAAACCTTACATAAACAAGCGCGTGTACACACACAGGTGCTCACATGGTGCTCTCATAAGTATGGGCTTGGGCACGTTCAACACATGTCTTAAGACTATGGTGGGCACTCAATGTGGTATATTATCGTGTGACTGTTTAGTTAAACAATGATTGATTATATATTTCTTCATCAAGTTGACGCAGTGATAGCTTGATTTTGTTATATTGGTGTTGTGTCCCATTTTTTTGTTATGTTTTGCTTTTTTCTCGTCTCATTTTGCAGGTCTAGAAGCAGACTCTTGTTCATTATTGTTTATTTTTGTTGAATCCCCCCCCCCACCTAACCCCCTCTCTCCCCACCTTTTCTCTTTTCCTTTCTCTTTCACCTCTGTCTCCGTGTCTGGTCGAAATTACAAAGCATTCAAAAACAATAACAATAAAGTTTTAAATATCAGGTGCGACATTAAAAGCAGACTCTTTGATGCTCCACCTGAGACATTAAAAGCAGATGCTCTGATGCTCCACCTGAGAGTAAAACTGTAAGGCTTGTTACCAGCATTCAGACATCAATTCTGCTTGCTTCACAGCCAGACAGGACACGTTAAAAAAAAAAAAAAAAAAAAAAAAAAAAAAAGACAGCTGTTATACCTGAGAAATGCTCCCCTGTCATGTAAGATTAGTTAATGTTGTAATAATGAAAATGATCATTATGACTGATTAAACTGATCACTTGTTTTGGTCATAGTTACTTAAACATATGAATTTGTGAAAATTTCCAGCAACTTCTCACTCATTTCTTTACGTTTATGGTACATCACAGGCAGAGATATAGTTTTTAGACTGAACACATAAAGGAAAGCTTTTACTGTGTAATGGTGTTTTTTAACCCTCTCAGGCTCAGAATAAGTTTTGATAAAAGGATGAACAACTAAGTCCTTCAGGGGTAATTCTTAAGTTAAAAAATGCTCATGAAATACGTGTGTGGAGTAACCAGGTAGGTAGGTTTTAACGTTACAAATCTGCAACGCCTACCTCCAGAGGGTTAATAAAATAGAAAATTATCTCTGACATTTCTAAATTTTCATTGGTAGTTTGCTTGCTATTAATTAATAATATCATATTCAGATTTAAAATTTTGTTTTATCAAATGCAAAAATATATATATCAAGTGTTAAAGTTCATTGTCTTTGGCTTTAGTTCACATATAGACTGTTCTGTGATTTTAACTTACAGAAGATCCCTTAATGTATTCATATTTATTTATTCAGAAAAACATGAAACCATTCCAGAAACATTTACCTTGGACTCCTTGATCTTGACTGCAATGATCTGCTTTCTCTGACGGATGATCTCCACCAGCTCGTCACACTCCTCCACCAGCTTAGCTTCATGCATGGCTGTGTTTACCTTAGAGAAACAGATGCATGTGAGAGAAAAGACTTTACACAACTTATATGTTTGATGAAAAAAATAAAAAAAACTTCCTCGGGTTTTTATCTCTAAATGAGATTTAGAAAAGTCATGTTTGGCAGCTAAGATTACTCATTTAGCAGAAATAAAAACATGAATATTTTTTTTCTTATTTATATCAATATAAACTTCCGTACTATTGAGGTTCTTTTTTAAAATGTTTTTCTTATTTTTTTATTCTCCCTGTGTTTTATTGATTTTTAACTGTTAGTTTTAGGAATTTTGTTGTATTTCCTTTTTATTTTTTATCTCTGTTCTACATGATTGTATAACGCCGGTTTAATTAACTAACATTTTTAGTGTACAGCGCCTTGTTTGGTTGTAATGCCTTGTTGAATGCGCTTTATAAATAAAATTGGAATTGGAATTTATGCATTCAGCACACCTCCCTCCAGCAAAATGCACATCTGGAATGGAAATGCTAGTAATGAACGCAGCAGTGATAAGGGATCTCACTTATTAATTGTTTCACTGGAAAGACTATAAATCATTACACTCCTAAGCCCACAAAGGGCTTCAACTTAAATAACACAGCTGGTTAAATGGTGGGCACGGCCACAACGGGGCAGACTGAATTTAGTTATTCAGCTGCAGAAATGGTTTTTTTTTTCATAGCTGGAGGAAACATCCAACACGGCTCATAAAGACGGGTACATTGCCGTTGGACTGGGCTACTATAAAATTCAGCATTTCAGATATTTATTGATATTTACGCTTAGAAAAGAAAAAAAAACAGACTCATTTAAGTTTGAATGCTGCAATCTTCATGGAAGGAAAAGTTCTGCTGATAAGTCAAAGGGAAAATATGCTTACATCATGCCAATTTAATATATCCTGTGATTAAATCCGAACCAAAGTTGCCAAGACGACTCAGCATCACCTCCCTGCTTCAGTCCAACACTATTTAAACTGCCAACTTTAAAAGTGTTTTTGCTGAATTGCAACAATGAGCCTCCAGCAAAAGGTCTGCCAGCTGCATAATATAATTACACTGAAAGCATCAGAAACACTTACGGCAGGAGTTCAAACCAATTAAAACATTTAAAATAAAAGAATAAAAGAACCTGCACTGATCCAACTTCAATTCTGAGGCAAAGAGCAGCCAAACAGCTAAGTGTGCAACTGCTAAATCTTTGTGCAACGCGACCCACTGCGATTAGGATTCCGTCAAACACGGAGAGTTTACCACCCAGTACGAGTTAGAGACCACACCCTTGCCTCTCAGTGTAGGAACAGAAGGTGCATGGTTAGTAAAAAAACTAGCTCTGTTTTCCTTTTGTACAGAAGGTTAATGGACACTGATTTGCTGTGCACCAATATGTAAAGCACAACACTAAAGCAGATACACTCATCTTCATGTTGTCTTATGCAGAGCTCTTTGAAATGTTCTCTGTGTGCAGCTCCAGTGCTACACCCCATCATCATGACAGGAGTCCTCCATTTTGTTTGTGCGAGCCAACTCAGACCATCAGAGACATTTCAGTGACTTTAAAACAAAACAAAACAACTCTGAACTGAGAGAGGCTTTACCTCAAACAGAAAACATCACAGCTGCCCAACAAAATAAAAAAAAGGTCCCGCATGGTGTGAAATTTCACTTCTCATATACGCCTGCCATCAGAGATGTTCCTTGCAGCCACAACAAGTCAAGAACCAAGTTGTTGCTTTTACTGCTTGACTGAACTCTACAGTATTTGGTGTCAGATTAAGCCATGCGTGAGGCTGTTCTGCAGTGCTACAACCTAAAACCATGATGCGTGCACACAATTTGGAAAACAAATACAAAGATGTGACTTAAACCAAAGATCTTATCAGATCACACTTGTTCTTTGAACAAAGACATCTTCATGTCGTCACATTCATGGAGGACTGAATAATTTCATGTCATTACTACAATAAATTAAAGCACATTTTCACTCATTTTACAAAGTGAAACTCATATATATTTATATATATAAATAATTTTTTTAAAGGAGTATACATATATACACACATATGTATACATTTTGTACACATATGTATATACAGTGCATTTGGAAAGTATTCATAGCGCTTCACTTATTCCACTTTTTTGTTTATGGTACAGTCTCATTCCAAAATGGATTAAATTCATTTTGCCCATAAAATTCAACACACAACACCCCATAATGATAATGTGAAAAAAGTGTCTTTGAAGTTGTTGCAAATATATTACAAATAAAAACTTGAGAAATCACTTGAACTTAAGTATTCACAGCCTTTCACGTGAAGTTCAGAATTGAGCTGAGGTGCATTCTGTTTCCACTGATCATCCTTGAGGTGTTTTAGCAGATTAACTGGAGTCCACCTGTGGTAAATTAAGTTGATTGGACATGGTTTGGAAAGGCACACAACTGTCTATATAAGGCCCCATGGGTTTGAGAGTGCATGTCAAAGCACAAACCAAGCATGAAGACGAAGGAATTGATTGTAGACCTCCGAGACAGGATTCTCTTGAGGCACAAGGCTGGGGAAGGTTACAGAAAAATATCTGCTGCTTTAAATGTTCCTATGAGCATAGTGGCCTCCATCATGCTTAAGTGGAAGAAGTTTGGAATCACCAAGACTCTTCCTAGAGCTGGCCGGCCTTCTAAGCAGAGTGAATGGGGGAGAAGAGCCTTGGTCAGAGAGGTGACCAATAACCCGATGATCACTTTGTCAGAGCTCCAGCGGTCCTCTGTGGAGAGAGCAGAACCTTCCAGAAGGACAGCCATCTCTGCAGCAATCCACTAATCAGGCCTGTATGGTAGAGTGGCCAGATGGAAGCCTCTCCTTAGTAAAAGGCACGTGGTAGCTCGCCTGGAGTTTGCTAAAAGGCACCTTGGGGACTCTCAGACCATGAGAAACAAAATCCTCTGGTCTGATGAGAAAACAAAATTGAACCCTTTGGAGTGAATGCCAGATGTTAAGCTTGGAGAAAATCAGGCACCGCTCATCACCAGGCCAATGCCATCCCTACACTGAAACATGGTGGTGGCAGCATCATGCTGTGGGGATGTTTTTCAGTGGCAGGAACTGGAAGACTAGTCAGGATAGAGGGAAAGATGACTGCAGCAATGGACAGGGACATCCTGGATGAAAACCTGCTCCGAAGCGCTCTTGACCTCAGACTGGGGTGACGGTTCACCTTTCAGCAGGACAATGACCCTAAGCACACAGCAAAATATCGAAGGAGTGGCTACAGAACAATTCAGTGAATGTTCTCGAGTGGCCCAGCCAGAGCCCAGACCTGAACGCCATTGAACATCTCTGGAGAGATCTGAAAATAGCTGTGCACAGACGCTTTCCATCCAACCTGATGGAGCTCGAGAGGTATTGCAAAGAGGAACGGGCAAAACTGCCCAAAGATAGGTGTGGCAAGCTTGTGACATCATATTCAAAACGACTTGAGGCTGTAATTGCTGCCTAAGGGTCAACAACAAAGTACTGAGTAAAGGCTGTGAATACTTATGTACAACTGATTTCTCAAGTTTTTATTTTAATATATTTGCAACAACTTCAAAGACACTTTTTTTACATTATCATTATGGGGTGTTGTGTGTTGAATTTTATGGGCAAAATGAATTTAATCCATTTTGGAATGAGGCTGTAACATAAACAAAAAAGTGGAATAATTGAAGTGCTATAAATGCTTGCCGGATGCACTGTATATATACATAATGCATACAAAACATTATTGCATTGAAAAGGCATGATTAGGGCATATTTAAGCTACAGCTCCACCACAGCTTCATCTAGATCTACACATGCTAATGACAGGGAGTGAAGCTTCCAATTGCAAGGTCTGTAACCCAAACATCACCAAGTCAGTAGAGTTTTTTTTATAAAACCTTTTTTTTCCTGAAGTTTCACAAGTTTCTGAAAAGCTTCAAAACGAGACATGAATTCCACATTTGGGCGAATTTATTGCAGGTTTAACTTCATCAGCCAAAAGGAAAAGGACACAGCAGCAGAAAAAGCTTAGGAAAAAGTTATGATTCATCCACGGTAACTAGGACCATTCACAAGATGTCAGCAGACCAAACACAAACTATAAAAGACTATCCTCATGTGGGAGCACCACCATGGATGACAAAAACTTCCAATTTTGGGAACAAGTTTGATACGGATTAGATTTCCTGTACAAATTGATCATATGAAGAATTGTGACTCAGTGCAGTTCTGACTTAAGATTGGGGCTGGACAGTTTTCAATATACATATATATCTATCGATAGATGTGTGGTGAAACAGAAGAAACATAGGTCAATAAAAACTTTGATTAAAAAGTTTCCTTTCTTTTTTCATCATAGCCCATCGGGTAGCTTAATACTAGATGTATTACTTACTTTCAACCAATCAACAACACAGAGCCAGGCACACACTGTCATCAAGCCCTCCACTCTCAAACCAAGGAGATGCGGAGGAAATCGTCCCAAAACAGGGTTACCCTATCCTGGTGAGCCATCCTATATATGTGAATATGTAGTCTGGCCATGGCCCAGACAGAGCTCAATTGTGGGGTGGAATCTATGTTTGTCTTTCAAACTGTTTCTGTGTGCTATTGGACAACAAACAATGTAACAAACTCACCGTTAATGATGTCAGTCAACAGGGCAGTCCACCATAAGCTGTCAAAGAAGACACAAATACATGCTTTTTCTAAATGAAGGACTTAAGTACCTCTATCAGCTCTTGACTCAAAGAAAAGCCCAAGTCTAAATAGTCCAAAGTTGATGCCAAAGCTGTTTCAAATGATCCACCACCATCTTTGTTGTTCTGCATCATGTTGCCCACCAAAACAATAGAGAGCTGTGATTGGCCCACCAAACTTTTAGAAAGTTGTTATTGACCCACCAAACCAGTTGAGAGTAGTGAAAACTTCTCAGGCCATTGGTAGACCTACTGAGGCCTACAATGGAGAATGGACTGACATGTAGA